AATTAGAATGATTTCACATAAATTAGATATACTAATGTATAATCCGTGCATCCGGAAACTCTTTTGAAAAAAATGAATAGCGAAGACTATTTTCATGCCATAATTTCGTGTCACCTAGTAACTCTAACTATAGGGCATGGGATATGAAGCATTAGGGTATTCGGTTAACGGTTTAAATCAAACCTATATGTAATACCATAATTATTGATCGGAATGGCGATCGAATTATTCATCATTTATATATATATGGATTGTGTGTCTAAAGCAAATTGCTTTAAACAAGAATTAATATATAACGAATTAAAAAACGCAAATCTATGGAGTTAAACTTTTTACCTTCCGTCATTTAAAAATATTGATTTATCTCCGGAATATAAAGATTTTATCTTAAATCATTTGAAGCAAGAATTTGTCAGAATTTCATTTTCTAATAATAACGAAACAAAGAAATTTGATTTAATTCATATTTTTATTAACAAATTGTATGTGAATTAGTGATGCCTGACGAAACCATGTGATGCTAATTGTCACATGGTACAATATAAAAATCAACAATTTATTTTGAAGTAATCAGCACATGATAATGGTTTGTCAGACATCACTAATTAAACCTTTAGATATGTCGTTCTTCTTAGATTTTAAATGAAATGCCATAGAGAACAATAATATATATTTACAACTGATAAACTTAGACCAAGAACTAAGTACTTTAGACTATGATGAGTACCATAAAATATATTCGCAATTGCAAGTCGTGATTGGTTCCTTTATACAAGATACTACCAGAAGTTAAACAGAACGAAGTTGAAAATATAGCATCTGATAATTATCAAGACGATAATTACATAATGTTTGGTTATTTAATTGTTAACAATAAGTATAGGATTTCGATACGATTTAGTTTATCAAACCGATATGGATGTCAAATTATCGTACATAAGTCTAAAAATACAAGGTATACCATTTTTCGATCGCTTAATTTAGTAATTTTTCAAAATACATTGTGAATTCGCGCACGCAAATTTAATGTATCAATACAGAATAGAATTCTGAAAGTATTCATAAATTTAGCAAAATTATGGTAATATGTTTTTGATATTTATATTTTCAGCATTCCCGTCGGTGCGCGAGTTTTTTGGATAATGCTTGCCAAAGGGCATGGATATTTTAGCCGTCATACTCGGAACATTAAATTTGTACACGGGGTGGAAACATTATCAGGAAAATTGCCGTTTACGTGTAACATAAGCATGCTCAACAGTGGCATAAATAGTTTGTCGGATTCATTTATCTTTACTAATTTCGAGTCAAAAGACCTTAATAAAACTCTAGTTCTTCAAGGAAGGCTTAAAGGTATTTCAAATACTAATTTGAACATGCAAATATCAGAATCTAATGTGAATGAAATTCAGAATAATAATTTGCTTGACATCGCAATGAGATGGTGTGTTGTTGATACTTATCAGAGAAGTTACATTGTAACTGATATCGGAGAAGAGTCTTTTAAATTGAATGATCTCAAAGGATTGTAAGCATGTAGTTCATTTTAAAAGAAAAAGATTCGCGAATAAACTGACTAAAGCTCATTTTAAACTCTGCATTTGTAATTTTATGCTACAGTTCAGAAATTACTGTTGAATATTATTCCATATTCAGTGCGATAATGGTTATAGCTAAACAAATTTACCAAATTTACGAGAATGCAGAATGTAATAAAGAAATTGGTCGAGTAATGGTAAATCGAGTAAAAGCTGCAGAATATGGCATTGAGACAATTTTGAGAAATATAGATTATGACAAATTTCTGCAAAGAGAACATTATTTAGCATTTAAACGTTTTGAAAATATTTTGTTAAATATTAAAACCTTTACTGAAGGAATATCTAAACTTAAAGGTTATAAAAAATATATTAATGCACGCGAAATTAAGAGTAAATATGAAGAATTAACAGAAGAATATGACGCATGTATGAGAGATCTACATATTGACAATGTTATTGAAGACGTTAGACATGAAGACTCTAAAAAAGTCGATAAATCTCTAAAAGAGATTGATGATGTATGTGAAATTATTCGGAAATTCAAAAGTATGATGTTAATTTTAATCGATTTATTTGATCAATTTTAGGTTCTCACAAATCTCGACGCACAAATTCGAAGCACAGATAATAAACTTAATACGATAATTCAAAATTTTGACCTAATAAAATCCCTAACAACTAAACAGTCAACTGATTTCTATGTAAAAAAAATTAATCCAAATGAATTAATTGACCCTATTATTCCAGGAAAAACCCATTTCCATCGTAGTATCAAAAAGTACTACAAATCAATTGAAGTTGAATGTAAAAGCTTTGAAGAAACTAAAGATTTCCAAAGACAGTTGGCTATACTTGAAAATTTAGATTCACCATACATTATCCGTTTTTATGGACTCTCATATGTGGATACTCAAAAAGTTATGGTTTTTGATTGGGCTGAATTTGGATCTTTAAAAGATCTTTACAACGCTTATGATATCACTTGGACCAGAAAAATACAAATTGTTCGAGATATCTGTCGTGGCCTTTCTTTTTTACGTAGCATAAACATTTTTCATCATGATATTAGATGTAAAAATGGTTTAGTAAGTACTCTAAGAAGTATTATACACACCAACATATCAAATCTAAGCAGTAATTAACATATCAGTTTACAGGTACAACGGACCTTGGACCCAAAACTTGCGAATTTCAAATATGCACACGAGATAAATGCAGTAGAAACAAACCTTTCAGATTTAGCAAAATATATTGTTCGTTGGATGGCCCCTGAGATAATTATGAATTATAAAAACGAAAAATACAATGAAAAAATTTATACATTTAATTGTGAAATGTTTAGGTATTAATATTTAATATAATAAAGATTATTTGGATTAGAAATTATAAATCATATTTATTTTTATTAATTATTACTCTTTTTATTACTCTTTGCAACTAGTTTTGGGATGCTGATTTGGGAACTTAGCTACGAAAAATTACCTTACAAAGATTGGGATTTTGTAAAAATTTCTGACCATGTTTTGGAAGGTAATCGAGAGAAACTTTTACATGGAAAGTTTGGTAATCTTAACGACAGGAAAATTCAAGAAGAATTTATTAGAATTATCGAAAAGAGTAAGGGATAAATAACCTATTTAGAAATTTCCTCTTTTGTAGTAATGATTTTAATCTTCTGCTTAATTAATAAATAGCATGGCAGCAAATACCACAACAAAGAATTGAAATTACAAAATTAAATATCAAACTTGAGAAGTTGGTTATTTGTTACCCAATTTCGCCGGAAGAACCTATGTTGTTAAAAAATGGAACATTGGATTTTGAAGGAGAGGAGGATGATATATCTACTAATTAGTTTAAATGTTCATATTCAAATTGTTTAATTCTTCAATATTCATACATAAAAAATAATAGTTCAATTGCATATCGATATGTTTTATTAATTATATTCTGTGACACAACATTTTAAAGCGAAGCTCCATTATTTGAAATTAAGTACTTGTTATTGTCATGCTGTGCTTATGACGTGCTGAAAGACACGTCATAATGCGGTATCTGCTGTGAAGAAATCAACGATTATTATTATCGGCCACAATTTGACCAATAATTAGAGTAGGAGGCACGGTAAAATTTTCGGGCATGCCTTAAACTGAGGCATGCCCTACTTATTGTGCCTTGGGCATGCCCCTAGTATATAAATCATATGATAAGTTTTGCTTGTGCAACATAAATGGCTTTCGTTTAGCATCAAACATACATAATTATATGTGTATTTGAATCAGAAAATAAGATCATTATTACTTAATATAAACCTCATTTATTTCTATAATATTAAATTCATACAGTACATATTAGTTGTTATTAACGATAATAGATTTACTATAATAAAGATCTCTAAACTTGTATTAAACGTTCTAATTTTCTTTAGTAAGTTTGTAGTATTAATATTGCTAATAATCGTTTGAATTTTAGGTAGAGTAATTTGATTTTGAGATTGTTTTATGTAATAACAGCAGACAATATTAACGTTTTTATGAAATAAAAGGTGAATTATTAGATTTATATCAGCCAATCATACGCGTGAAATCTTTTCCGTGATCACATGATATGGGCATGCCCTCTGGCCCAAAGGCATGCCCCAGGCATGCCCCAGGCATGCCCCTCTAGGCATGCCTCATGGGCATGCCCAGAGACCCGTGCCTCCTACCCTACCAATAATACACTTATCCGACATGTTTTAAGTGAACACCGAACGATTTTTGTGTATTGTATTAGGAGGTGGTCAAATAACTTACACAAAAGTCGTTCGGTGTTCACTTAAGACATTTCGGATAACAAATTAAATTGATTTTATATTTGAATTAATCACATTTGTAACTTCATTCTGTAACAGCATTTTTAGTTTAGAATAAATGTCAAAGGAAGAAATAGAATGAAGAAAAGCAAATCTTATATTTAAAATTTTAAATCAAATATGTATTAATTATTTTTTTTTATTTTGTAGTCTTATTTAAGGTTAAAAATAATATTTATCATTTTGCTCAGTCGGGATTTCGTGATACATGCTAGCTATGCTAACATTATTAGGATTCAAGCTTCGTATGCCCAGTTCATTATATACTAATCAGAATATAGTTAAGATTGAGTGATCTTATAGAACAAGGAATCTTCGATAGCACATAATGCTGAGACTTTGTCTCTTTTGGTCCATACTACGTAGTAATAAGACAGTTTTCTGAATTGTTGAAAAAAATTCTATTTTACAAGCAAAAACAGTAAATTATCGAATCTATTATCAATTAAAACCCCGGTACCAAATTTTATTTTATTCAACAATTAGTGTTAGCATTAGAGTGATTTTTCAAATTGTATAATTGAAATTAACCGAACTTGATTATTTCGGATCCTCAGTGCATAAAAAAGAATTGTATATTTTTCCTTGAATTTTCATATCGATATTTTATCGTAAATGAACTTTTTCAATTGTAAATAAAAACTTAAATAAAACTCAAATGAATTCAGATTCATAATACACTATAAACAATTTAAAGGATGAATTGATTATCTGTTATATGTTA